GAAAAACACTACATTGATCAAGAAAAAAGTACGTCAAAAAAAATCACTGATTAGTTTGTTTGTTACAAAATATATTTATATAAGATACGGATTCTATATTTACACTACACAATCATTGTAACTTTTCTTGTAACTTTTTTGTGGTGTCAACCAGATAAAACTGTAGTGGAAATATATCTACATGTTTTAGTTTCGATATTTTTTTTGTCAGACGACTTTCTCATGTACATGTATAACAGGCGCGTGCTTCCTGTTCAGTATGTATACATGTTTCAAGTACACATGTACTTTGGCAGAAAATCAGGAATCCAGTAGATGGAATGTATAAGATTATTCACAGATAATGTTTTAAGTTTACGATATTTTAACAAGATAAAGAAAAACAACATTTGCTATACTACATCAATTCGGTAGAAATTTGGAGATGTGTTGCTAGACAAGAAAAAATATTTCACTACATTCCAATGCAGCTTCGATACAGTAGCTTTAAATTTTTAGTTTTCCGAACTTTTATTTCAAGAACAATATAATGTATTGAAAAATAATCATTTACCGAACAAATGGTGATTAATGAATATCTCTACATTTTAAGTAATTTATACGTTTTAGAGATTTATGGTAAGAGTGTACGTATGTGATAAGAGAGTAAATGTAAATATTTAGTAATTAATTAATTGTTCTAAGGATAAAAACACCAGTCATAACACGTACTATTTGCTGCCAACTTACAATCATCTTAGTATGTGCATCGTAGCTACCATATTGTTTACGCAAGATGAAAATATTTGCCTTAAGATGGACTGTGTCATAATATTTTATTTGCTTCCTTGATTTTTCATGTAGATAAGATATATTGACAGTTTCCCTTTGTAACATTAAAACATTATATAATTGAGATCCTTATCTAAATTTAAACAAATTGGGGCTTGTAAATCATAATTTATACATGCCTGTCACGCGGGATACTTCTGGTCTAGTCGGGTTTTTTTTTATAGATCTGTCTTCCAAAGTACTCTGCCTGGTTCAAATGATCTGGTATTTCTATTAACCGAGAATTAACAAGCACCTGGTGTATACATGTATATATCCCAGGTTTTCCGAATTTTCATCTGATATAACCACGTGATCGTATATTGACTATATTGTTTTATAACCTGACGCTATCAACAACAAACACGTGCATTACCTGCGATAAGCATGCATCTTACAAAGTGGCAACAATACCTGCTAAAATATTCATTGTTGAAAACATCAGTTGATCATTTTTGATGCTTTGATTTATATATAATGTATGCTAACTATTCCATATTGTCATATCATATTGTTTCTAATCATTGCATTTAGCATGCAAAATAGTTTTAAAAAAGAGTGGCAACAGCGCGTTAAGCTTCATTAAAGTTGAATATTCATTTGGTTATTTCATGAATAAATGAAGTTATTTATTAATGTATTTATGAATGATCGCGTAAAATATATGATTTTATACGTTGATATGTATTTACGACTTTCATACATTGTAGATAAAGTATACTCTATTAATAAACAGATATATAAGCCGCGTCACGACAAAACCAACATAATGCGTTTGCGACCAGCATGGATCCAGATCAGCCTGCGCATCCGTGCATTCTGATCAGGATCCATGCTGTTCGCTTACCAACTCTATAACAAGTATAGATAAACTGATAGCGAACAGCATGGATCCTGATCAGACTGCGCGGATGCGCAGGCTGGTCTGGATCCATGCTGGCCGCAAACCCATTATGTTGATTTTGTCATGACGCGGCACATATATTCAATTAGTCAAATTGCTATCGTAGTATATTTTATCTATAAAGTGAAGCGGGCATTATATGTTATTCTAATTAATGACATTTTCGCTGCAGGCGAATGACACTGCACGGTTATTATGTTAAGCAGGACTTTATAGTATAAAAAAGTGGCAACTACTTTGGAATGTGTTATCTAGGTGATTTTCTGTCATTATTTTTGATGAGGTGACGGCCATAATGGTCTTGACCGCCGGTCATCACAAAGTTGTGGTTAATTTAATTTTTAGATGGAAATAGGATTTATTTGGAGAAAGGCTTAAAAATATCTTGTTTTAAAAGTAAGTAGCCGAATACGCTTAAATTTCATTTGAAAAAGAGTTATTTATAGCAAAATTGAAATGATGTTGGAAGAATTCTGATCAATGATATTTGATTATAATAATGAAAAAGAAAAATGTTTCAAAATTAATTAAAGAAAGTTATGTTAAAATAAAACGACTCTTACTTCATAAGTATATCAAATCTGATAATATTTCAAATTTATATTGTTTTATAATTACGATTCCATCCAAACAATAATCACGGCTTTAAGTTAAGGACTCGAATGCGGTTAACATACACGATATTTTCTTAGCCGTTAAGAAGATAACTACCTTAATAGTCACTCTTCATCGTTTATTATCGTTCATTTTAATTAAATTTGAGATAATTCAATTGTCCTTATTGTTGTAAATCTATATTCGTACGTGCGCACTGTTCATAAACGAAATAAAATAACGTTTGTATAGTAATTGGTTTCTCACACGATATCTACCCATTTTTTTTCCTAAATCACTAACATTAATGAGCCGCGCCATGACAAAACCAACATAATGGGTTTGCGACCAGCATGGATCCAGACCAGCCTGCGCATCCGCGCAGTCTGATCAGGATCCATGCTGTTCGCTTACAAACCCTATTACAAATAGAGAAACTGATAGCGAACAGCATGGATCCTGATCAGACTGCGCGGAGGCGCAGGCTGGTCTGGATCCATGCTGGTCTCAAACCCATTATGTTGGGTTTGTCATGGCACGGCTTATTTACTAATGGCCAAAAGCAAAAGAATGGTTCAACTATATTGCCATTGAGTATCGTTTCTATCATTATAACAGAGCACCAAACATTTATATTTAACAATAGCTTTATGTGGGGTTTGATATTCCTTTAAAGCTGCGTGCCTCCAGATGAGGCAAAATATTTCAAGAACATCGAACTTGATAAAATTTACTCAAATTTTATGAAAGGTAAAAAGAATCAAGACTTAAATAGTAATTTACATGTTCTTTGCGATGAAAAACTGATTTTGCTTTATATATTTCTACTGTGTGACTAATGCAGTAAGGACTATTTTTCATTTTTTGCCCTCTTTTTGGTACTTTGCGTGGATTGTAAGTACCGATAGCACTGCGTAAATTACTTTTTTGCATTCATAATACTTTACTTTAAAATTCATTTTCAAAATCTTCATGAAAATTATCATGAATATGGAGGCGTGCTGCTTTAACACGATTAAGTGCTAGCTAGTCATATTTGTATGAAATAGCAAATTAATCTTTGTGCATATCTTATGTTTCTCATTCTTATATAAGTGATTAATTGCATTTTAGTCATAATTAGAAGGACTTTATACAACTTTACATTTCTGCTTTCCCATCTAAACGAATCTAAATGAATATACATGTATGTAAAATATAATTTTATTATCTGTAGAAAACATTTACAAGCACGGATATCGGTCACTTTAATGATCAATATTCAGGAAGCGGACTCGAAAGTGATTAACATAAATAACAAGAAGTTTATATTTTCACAATCCGAGCTTAAAATATAACTTAACTAAACAGTTAAACTAGACTTGACTAGGCTCGGCTCGGCTAGTCTTTATAGGCTCGGCAGGCTAGACTCGTCTATCCTAGCCTAAGCTCGACTCGTTTTGGCTCGACAGGCTAGGCTAGCCTAGGCTAGGTTTAGGCTATGCTTTAGGTTAGTAGGCTTTACTTCTCAAGTTTTATTTTAATTACGCATATCATCCAATAGAGTAACAACTGGTAAAGTATTTACAGCAGGTAAATCCAATCAGTTTATCTCTGCCATGTAAATGAACATATGTCAGTAATTTTATGATCACCAGAAACATTTACTAGTTATAGTTATTTTATAATAAAACGGGAGATTTCAAGTATCTTCACGTGCCTTTCGCTGCAAAATAGCTCCAATAAATATTTGTGGAACAGATAAAAAAGATATTAAATAACCAGTATCTAAAAATGATGAAGTCTGTAAAATTAATAAATTTGATGTCTTGCCTGGTAATTTTCTTAATATATCATGATGAATGGGTGCTAATGTCATAGTTTATGGAACTTCCACTGTGTGAAAACTTGTTGTATTGATTTTTTTTTAAATATTCGCAGGAAAAAAATCAATCATTACTGCATGCGTTAGGCTCATTTTGCTTACATTTGTTGAGGATATATTTGATATGTATATGTGTATTTTCAGCTACAACAGTTGTAGCAATTCAAATATGATAAAATGATAACAAATAGAAATGGCATAGTCTATTGTAAGATACATTGACAAACATTGATTCAATTAAGGTGACAGCTGCTATCGTCCGATACACACGTCAGACATTCACAATAACTGAGCCGCGGCACGACGAAACCAACATAATGGGTTTGCGACCAGCATGGATTCAGACCAGCCTGCGCATCCGCGCAGTCTGATCAGGATCCTTGCTGTTCGCTTACAAACTCTATAACAAGTAGAGAAACCGATAGCGAACATCATGGATCCTGATCAGACTGCGCGAATGCGCAGGCTGGTCTGGATCCATGCTGGTCACAAACGCATTATGTTGGTTTCGTCGTGACGCGGCTCAAATATGCAAATGAGAAAATCACGTGTTTGCTTTATAATGCCTATGTCTATAGGGAAATTAATATACATGTATATTGAAAGCGAAGTAATGGAAAACAAGGCATAAGCAAATTTATAATACGGTTGTCAATCTATAATTGTGTTAGCCATGTGTTATCAAAGATAGGAATTTTCTTATCGTAATTAAGAAATATATAAGCAATTGCATATTTATCATATTACCTTTTTTTTACCACTTAACTGCATTTTGTATGAACAAAAGGATTTATTAATTCATTTTGCATAACATCCATTTCTCGTTTTAGAATTTAGGATACATAAAAACTATGTAACCTTACATCTATTTTACCAATGTAATTATGTCGGATTGTTAAAAATGTTCTTTTAGAAAAGTGGACATGTGCATGTATATAAGTAGTTTTTCATTTTTTTTGTTTTCCTTCAAATATTCGTAAAATCAGGGATGTTTTTCTTCACCACATTATATGAAAATTATGAGGAAGATTTATTTGTTAAACAATTTAAGTACAGGAAAATGGAAAGAATTAATTATATTGAAATTGAGGAAAAAATATAACAAATCTTATCCATGTATGTGGAAAATATTAAATGATACATTAGTAAGTGAAAGTTGATCTTTGTAAAGTTTGATCATTGTTGAAGGAATTAGTTCCAGAGTGGACAGGTAAATGTAATAAATATTTTCATTTTTATAAAAAAATAAAAACGAATCGGTTCAATCATTTCTTTTAAGGCCCATTATTACGGTGTTCCGTTTGGACACGTTTGTACGGTGTTCCGTTTGGACACGTTTGGACAATCGTGACATTTTATTTATTCTGTACCCGCGATGCACGATGGTACGATGGTGAAAACGCGATGGCACGATGGTGAAAACACGATGGTACGATGGTGAAATCACGATGGTACGATGGTGAAATCGCGATGGCGCGATAGTACGATGGTGAAAACGCGATGTTACATCGCGTTTTCACCATCGTACCATCGTGATTTCACCATCGTACCATCGCGTTTTCACCATCGTACCATCGCACCATCGCGCCATCGTGTTTTCACCATCGTGCCATCGCGTTTTCACCATCGTACCATCGCACTTTCACCATCGTACCATCGCGATTTCACCATCGTACCATCGTGATTTCACCATCGTACCATCGCGTTTTCACCATCGTACCATCGTGCATCGCGGGTACAGAATACAGAAAACGCGATGGCACGATGGTACGATGGTGAAAACACGATGGTACGATGGTGAAAACGCGATGGTACGATGGTGAAATCGCGATGGTACGATGGTGAAATCGCGATGGCACGATGGTGAAAGCGCGATAAAGCGCGATGGCACGATGGTGAAAACACGATAGCGCGATGGTGCGATGGTACGATGGTGAAAACACGATGGTACGATGGTGAAATCACGATGGTACGATGGTGAAAACGCGATGTAACATCGCGTTTTCACCATCGTACTATCGCGCCATCGCGATTTCACCATCGTACCATCGTGATTTCACCATCGTACCATCGTGTTTTCACCATCGTACCATCGTGCCATCGCGTTTTCACCATCGTACCATCGTGCATCGCGGGTACAGAAATGTCACGATTGTCCAAACGTTACCGTACCATCGTACCATCGTGATTTCACCATCGTACCATCGCGTTTTCACCATCGTACCATCGCACCATCGCGCCATCGTGTTTTCACCATCGTGCCATCGCGTTTTCACCATCGTACCATCGCACTTTCATCATCGTACCATCGCGATTTCACCATCGTACCATCGCGTTTTCACCATCGTACTATCGCACCATCGCGATTTCACCATCGTACCATCGTGATTTCACCATCGTACCATCGTGTTTTCACCATCGTACCATCGTGCCATCGCGTTTTCACCATCGTACCATCGTGCATCGCGGGTACAGAATAAATAAAATGTCACGATTGTCCAAACGTGTCCAAACGGAACACCGTACATTATGCCTCAGAAATGCTTTTATTTTATTTATTTATTTTTTTATTTCTGAGGCATAACGTGCCTTAATAAGGTGAATCGTCTGCAACTGAAGCAAAATATATCAAATTCAGGATTTATATGATATTCATTACTATCAATAAAAAATTATGTTACAATGTGACCTATGAGTTGATTTAATTCTACGTATGTCAGTGCTATATATACTCGTAAACACATGATCAGGAATCATGGACATAAATTAAAGGTCACTGCCATATAAAAAAGAATGATAATTGCTGTTTTCCCTTTCTCTCCAATGAATAATTACCCAGTCGTTACCATGGCAACCTAGCTATAGGCATTATAATGATGGTATTGTTTGTTGTTATTGAAGTCCAAAGTTTTTTCATCACATTAAGCAAGATGTTAAATATGGATTTCTTTAATAAATGAAATTAGAACACTGTATATGGAGATTTTACGTAAAAACAATTTACGATATACATTTTCCATACATGGTTTGTTTATAAAAATGGTAAACTTCCATGTTTTCATGATCTAAATTAAAAGTGATTATATATACCATAAGTGGAATATTTTTGATGAAATAAAAGTGAATAGAAATAATAAAAAAGTTTTAAATGACATGTATGTTAGAACAAATTCTAGGACATAATATTATGATAGTCAATATGTTTTATGATATCGGCTGCTACACACTTATCGGATGTTACACTTTTCGAATGGTACACTACTGAATTTGTCGGATTACAAAACTAAGGGGTAATCCCTATTTTTTAAAAATACAACAAAACTTTTATTCTTTTTTGGCTCATCATACCATGTATAGTAATGTATAGAACTTTAAACGACGCGGTATAAAAAATGACGGGAAGTGGTATTTTCTCGCGCATGCGCAATCTGCAAAGGGCAAAAAAAGAAAATACATAGAAACACCTAATGGCGGATATATATGTGTACTAAGACCGGAAATGATAACAGGACCATAACGTAGATCTACATTGTATATACATTTTGCAAGTGTGTAAAAATACATGACATTTATTAGATATCGTTTGATGTGGTCCATTCAGCATTAATATGTTATGTTACATTGCGGAAATATAATTTCAAACACACAGAAGTACATGCTTACGAATTCATGTATAAAGTGACATTTTCTGCCGCGAGGTAAATTAGCGTGTAAATCAATTTTCATTTAGTAATATAGATGACATTTTTCGTCATTTTTGCGAATTTCTATTTATTTATTATACTTCTGATACATCTTTTTTATTAATTTTTAACTGTGTATTACTCTCTCTCCAGATTTTGTTGATGGTAAGATCGGAAAAATGACAGGGGTAACGACGAGATCGAAGACCAGACACCAGAACGGAAATGGAACTGCGCATGTCAATGATGTAAAGAGAAATGGTGACGCAAATCATGGATGTGATGTCATATCAAACGGTTTTAACAGCTACAAGGAAAGTTATGAAACTATTGGAAAGTCGGAAGCTGGAAAAACGTTTCGTCATTTCTTAAACAAAATATTCTTTCCGCTATGTCTAGTATCATTGACGCCACACATTGTCATACTGTACTGGTATACCAACGCACACTGTAACGGAAGTTACACAGAAATGTTAAACAAATTACGTGATGGGTCTGTATTATTCAATCTTTTCCAAATATGGAGTAGAATAAGCATAATAAACCGTTTTACGGTGAGCGTTGTCTTTGGATATTTCGCTTGGGCTGTCTTTTGGATGCGTGTTCTACCTGGGAAGAGAGTAATGGGTCCAGTGACACCAAACGGTAACGTTCCAGTCTATATTGACAATGGATTTTCGCACTATATAGTAACAATGATTGGGTTTTGTGTGCTAACAGTTGGACTTAAAATGTATGGCATGACACCGACTGTTGTCTATGACCGCTTCGGGGAACTTCTGGCATTTATGAACATTTTTGCATTGATGTTTGTTCTTATCCTGTACTTCAAAGGCGTGTTTGCGCCATCATCTACGGACAGTGGCAGAACTGATGGCGGTTTTATCTTTGATTATTATTGGGGAACAGAACTATACCCTCGGATATTTGGAGTAGATGTGAAAGTCTTTACAAATTGTCGCTTTGGTATGACTGTATGGCCGTTATTAGTGTGTATATACGCCCTGAAAAGCTACGAACTTTACGGATTTGTGGACAGCATGTTTGTAACAACTGTCCTACAACTTGCATATATTACCAAGTTTTTCACGTGGGAAGCGGGCTATATGCAAACAATTGATATTATCCTAGACAGAGCCGGGTTCTATATATGTTGGGGATGCTTATGCTGGCTTCCAGCTTTATATCCTATAGTGAGCCAGTATCTAGTGAGTCATCCAGTGAAACTGGGACCAGTCTGGGCTTCCGTAGTTTTGTGTCTTGGACTGGTATCTGTCCTTGTCAACTATCTTGCTGATTTACAGCGCCAGGTTGTCCGAAAAGCAGATGGCAACTGTTTGGTATGGGGGAAAAGGCCTGACATTATAAGAGCTAAATACACCATTGAAAGTGGAGAAGAAAGAGAAAGCATTTTGTTAGCCTCGGGTTGGTGGGGATTATCAAGACATTTTCATTATATCCCAGAAATCCTTCTGTCCTTCTTCTGGACTTTGCCAACGGGGTTTGTGCATTTACTGCCATACACATATGTGCTTGTTTTAGTAGTCCTTCTTACTCATCGGAGTTTTAGGGATGAAAATAAGTGCTCTAGAAAATACGGGAAATACTGGCAGGAGTATTGTGCGAAAGTTAAGCACAGAATAGTGCCATTTCTGTTTTGAAGTAGTTAACTTTAAGGAAAAGGAAATTTTGTAAAACTTGTATTTGAAATGTACTGGAAAGACTCGATAGAATCAAACAGGCTGGAAGCATTATTACAAAGGTATTATTAAGTTATAATGTATCATAAATAACTTTGACAAACGAATGTGTAATTCATTAAGTAATACAATCCAGATAGCCTGGTTGAACTTTCGTAAACGGAATATTAAATATAACTCACGAGAATAGTTGAATTCTTTGAAAAATAACCATGGCAAATACTCATGCAGACGAAATACTCATAATTTTGTCTGCGATCACAGACAGCCGCTGTCTCCGACGGACATCTACATCAATATGGTATATAACAACTCTTTGCGTCCCCTATACGAAGATGATATTAGTAATTACATACTATGTTTTAAAGTCGTCAAACATGAAAGTTACCGAGATATCCTTCATTATCCAGTTACAGCGCAGAAGCGGAAGTCACATACCTTTTAATACTTCCGGTAGGTTATCTTCTGTAACCCGTACCATACCGTACGTAAACCAACTGTTCGTTTCTTTTGCACGAAGATGACAACACTATGATTAACCATCATTGTGAAGTGTAGGAAGGAATATATGCCAGAAAACTCTATGCAAGTTCAGGTTCATTACAAAAATGATAAATTATAGAGAGAAGTAACAGCGGAAACAGCTTAATTAACATTTTATATCCAAGAAAGAGAGCATTTTGGTTTTTAAAATTATTATCTTGAAATGGCGTCTACGAACACACTTTTGACAGAGAATACAACCAAAAAGGCAATATTTGTATGCATTATGGAAATTTATTCAGCATTTGCTTTGTATGTTAGTGTTTATTAATTTATTATATTGCCAGATTAACACAACTGTGCAATTTGTTTCTAGTTTTTGAGACATTTCCTCTGTTCTGATATCATTCTTATTAGTTTTCCTAAATTAACTACAGGCACTGCGCAGTGCTTAGATTTCATCCAAAGGATAGCTAAAATTACCTTTTGAATTGATTGATTACCTTGAGACAGAATCAACAGTCATAAAATAAATTGATCAGTCAGTGGTGGGCCAATCAAATATCAGTATATTGAATGAATGAATGATTGATTGATGATTGATTGATCAATTAATTGATTCTTGTTCTTTAGTGTTGAGAACAGGATTATGCAAATACATGTACTTGATTATTTTGTCAATGGCTGTCAGTCTATCACTTAAATATTAGTAAATATTTTAAATTAGAATCTAACTATGTTTAGAAACAAATTTCACAATTAACATGGAATATTATTGCCAGATAAATTGGCTGATTATCCTTCTGCGCCTTATTTTTTTTTCAAAGACTAAACTGAGAGCAGTGGCTTAGTGGTTAAGGTGTCTGCCACTTAACCCAATTATCAATGGTTCGAGCCCTCGTCGGGTCACGGCTTTGTTTCTTAATATAACATCAGTACTGGTTAGTTCCAGGAAGCGGACTCGAAAGTGATTAATAGCTGCAAGAGCTTGTTTCGCAATCGAGCTTAAATAAATATGTTTTAAACCAAAGACTAAACTGTAAATCCTATCTTTTTTCTCCTGTTTTGTAAAAGTCATTGTTTTTATGTAGTAAAACTTTATTTGTATGTTAATGCCTGAGTCTTGCCGTTGCCAATTGTGTTTTAACATTGTATATTTATTATTTTAGAAATTAAAGTAAAGAGATATTTTCATGTAGTTTGTGGATTCCTTTTTATTCATCAGCATTTTATGCCCCCCCCCCTTCAGTGGGTATATTGTTTTGCTTATGTCGGTCGGTCGGTCTGTCAGGCAGTCGGTCTGTGCGTCGGTAGACCACATGGTTTCCGCTGATTATCTTACAGAACTAATTATCACAAATTTTCATATTTCAAATATTGATTGGTCATTTGCAGTTGATGACCCATATTGATTTTGGGATCACAAGTTCAAAGGTCAGGGTCACAGGGGCCTTAAATGTAAGAATGGTTTCCGCTAAGTACATTTAAAACATTTTATCACAAAGTCATTTATTATGTATTATGTATATTTATTATACATATTGTTTTTGCCTTCGCCGTCTGTCTGTCCGTTGTCCGTCCGAATTAAGCTTGTCCGCCCTTCATAGGTAAAACTACTGGTGGGATTTCAACCAAACTTTACAGGAGTGATCAGTACCATCCCTAGTTGTGCACATCACCGGCACGTTCCGCTTGGCTACACAAAATGGCCACTAGAGCTAAAATAGAAAAATCTTGTACGCCCTTCACAGGTCAAACTACTGGTGGGATTTCAACCAAACTTTACAGGAGTGATCAGTTCCATCCCTAGTTGTGCACATCACGGACACGTTCCGCTTAGCTGCACAAAATGGCCGTCAGAGCTATAAATAGGAAAATCTTGTCCGGCCTTCACAGGTCAAACTACTGCAAACTTTACAGGAGTGATCAGTACCATCCCTAATTGTGCACATCACCGACACGTTCCTCTTGGCTGCACAAAATGGCCGCCAGAGCTAAAAATAGAAAAATCTTGTTCGGCCTTCACAGGTCAAACTACTGGTGGGATTTCAACCAAACTTTACAGGAGTGATCAGTACCATCCTTGTTGTGCACATCACGGGCACGTTCCGCTTCGCTGCACAAAATGGCCACCAGAGCTAAAAATAGAAAAATATTGTCCGGCCTTCAAAGGTCAAACTACTGGTGGGATTTCAACCAAACTTAACAGGAGTGATCAGTACCATCCATAGTTGTGCACATCACCGGCACGTTCCACTTCGCTGCACAAAATTGCCGTCAGAGCTATAAATAGAAAAATCTTGTCCGGCCTTCACAGGTCAGACTACAAGTGGGATTTCAACCAATCTTTACAGGAGTGATCAGTACCATCCCTACTTGTGCATCTCACCGGCATGTCCCGCTTTGCTGCACAAAATGGCCGTCAGAGCTATAAATAGAAAAATCTTGTCTGGCTTTCACAGATCAAGCTACTAGTGGGATTTCAATGAAACTTCACATGAGTTACCATACATAGTTTTGGGAGACATATGTATTGTGACAAAAACCCTTCTAGTTAGTCATTATGGGGTCATTATTTCAAAGGTTAATGTCTTTATATTTCACATATTGATTGGTTTTAACTAGTAGGTCATTATCTTTCTTTTTCCATATTTGAACACTTCCATGTACCCATTTATGGTATGTTTTTATAACAAAATTACCTATAGTATGAGTCAAGGGAAAGGAAGGGGGGCATATGTGTCGTTGGAAATTTCTTGTTACATGTTTGAATAGCAGATTGTTTTATGTAACATTACAATCATACTATATAAATTACTTGGACTATCAATAAGGTAATTAAGTTGAAGAAATGCATATAGAATAACACAAAATGTAGATGTATAAATTATGACGATTGTTCATATTTTACATTTTTATAGTTTGAAGTCTTGCCACTAGACAACTTTTCAGCTTTACTGGTGGAGGAAGACTTAAGGTGACAGCCGCTGATGAATACAGCCACCGCCATTTCGTAAGCTAGCTAAACAACTTCCTTACATGAAAGGATCCAAGTGAAGTTGTGTAAACCGTGTACTAACCATGATGTAAGCACACAATATTATGACTCCAGTCGTAATATGAGAATTATTAAGAATATTTGTTTATATCATTTTCAGCCTATTTTTACTCACTGAACCGTACGTTGGGTCAGATAAGCTGAAACGGACTATTCTATGCATAGTCAAATATTTGGCGTGTCAAAGCTAGATTTTGTGATATTTGAGTTGTTGGTCGCTTCTAGAAGGGAGATATTGCCCAAAGTATCTAAAATCGTAGTACAATTAGTTAGACTAAATCTATGCCAAACTGAAAGGTCACTTATCTCCAATGGGAGGTTCTGGTATCCTATAATGAGAGAAGATTTTACCTATAACTTAACAATTATCGTCTGCCAATTTATACTCGTGTCAAGACATCATTATTGTAACTTGTCTGAATATGGAAACGTCGTCTAAAATCTAACGTATTAATGGTTATTTCTGTATTTGACTACATCTGAATAATATACTAGTAAGCCAATGATTTTATAACATGGTACTCACCAATGCTCATGATTATTACAATATCTCGTCAAAAATGTATAAAGCAAATACTATCTGGATATACGTACATGCCACATGTTGTAAAAGCTAAATATATAAATGATGACAACCTCCAATGAAATGACATTAGAAATTAGTTTTTCTTTAAAGAACAATTTAAAGTCAGCTGTAATTATTTTGTGAAATATACATCATATTAGAATAATGTAGAGTAAGGTTGCATCAATAATTGATGAAGTTGAAACCCCGTACGCATACATTTGATTTGAACATGATTTATTGGTTGATATAAGAAGAGAGTTAAGTCACTTTTTCCACCAAAAATCTCAAATATTGTCGAAGTTTTGTCTATTTAGTGTCACTTGGGATTCATCCGAGTAAATGTGTGTATATTTCTATATTAAAACAGCAATGTGATTTTCTGTTTATGCTAATGGTCTATCCATATATGATAACGTTTGGAAGTCGGAAATTGCAAGCCATTCTTAAATACAAATTACTGCGGATGCGCAGGCTGGTCTGGATCCATGCTGGTCGCAAACCCATTATGTTGGTTTTGTCGTGACACGGCTCATATGTATCAACTCAATTGTGATTGATATTCTTCAATAGAGACGATTTGCTAATTGGACTCTTAATGCTATAATGTGTTAACATTGTGTTCTCCAGGGAGAGAAAAAGAAGACCTGATCGATCAGTCTTTTTGTATGACTACCAGTCCCAATTAATCAATTACTTATCAGCCTTACAAGGTTTCAACTGCAATTCCGTTGCCATGGCAACATGATTTAAAGATAATGGAAAGAGCTTCATTAGTTTCCCTTAATCATAGTTGTAAAATTGCTACGTGAAGTAAAGTATTTAATTAAGTATAACATTTTCTTCACATATCGCGTTGCAGAAAGGCGAAGACCTGATTATAGTTAATCTGTTATGACCTTTGTTTTTTTTTTAAATTTGAAATGTGAGATGTTACATGCTGCAGTGGAATGAAGAATATATTTGTATATCTATGAAGAACAAGTATGTTAGAAAACATGAAAATGCGAATGTAAAATTGTTTTTAGATTTTGATTCCAGTAAATGTAATAAGAAGGCTGAAACCATTCATGATTTAGTCTTATTCCATATGCTTAGATAATTATATAAGCATGTATATGTAAAAGCTTAAATCGAACTTAATTAATACACGTAAATTATGCACGCACTAAAGATGAGATTGAATTTGTGGAACAGTATTAGACAACTTACAACTTTCATATTATTTTTCTTTTCTTTGGAAATTTTGAAGAAAAAATCTTTTTGTTATACTGATTTAAAAAAAGAAGAAGATATTTTAAGTTTTTTTTATACATCTCGGAAAAGTGATTTGCCAAATAGATTTCTAATTTGCAAGTTTTAGAGAGAGAGAGGGGGGACATGATCGATTAGTCCTGCTGTCAGCTTCTCTACCCAACCAATTAATTACTTATAATGCAATTGGAAATTCGTTGCCATGACAACATGATTTTAAGATAATGGAAAACCAGATTAAACACTTTCATTACTGAAACTATTGGAAAATGCAAAAGAAAGAAGGTGAAAGCACAAAACTTCAATATCTGACTAACATTGTTATTAATATCCAAGCAGGAAAATATTTATTCATGTGGTAAACCGCATTCCACCGCGTTATACCATTCATGGCAGAAATACCAGGCAATGGTTTTAGTGGTAAACCGTCAACTTAATACAATTAATATCAAAGCGCTAAAGGCACTGAAACTGTTTGGGTCCTTAAAAAGGAGTAACTTATGCAAACTTTACAGCATAGGTGTTATTTCGTATAATAAGTATTTATTCTGATTTTGTCCATCATTCATAACGTCTCTAAATGAAATATTAATGCCTCTTTGAAAAAAAAATTGGGCAAGTTTTATAGCATGGACAAAAGTCTTACCCCTTAAATCTTTAGCGTTTCTTTTAATCTGATCTGCTGACCCTTTATTTTTACATAGACACGAGAGTAGAAATTACTAACAAAAACATAACAATTACATTAATGATGCAAGCTTGACATCATATAGCCAGAGATTTTATAATGTTAAATTTATTATTTTTTTTATTTTCAACTGAACATAGTTTGTGTATAAATAAATGAAACATTATATTAAGTAAATTTTCCCTGTTTTATAGGTACACTAATGTTTCCGATATAATTTTGCTACCTTCTAAGAAAAGGATTGAAACTTAATATAAAGTACGAAGACGATTACAATTAGAAATAGCAATTTAGGCATAAGCGTAATATTCACCAAGTCAGTTTTCATTTGGTTTTACCATCAGAGCACAGTTAAGCACAGTTTACCAATACTTATTGCTTTCACTTTCGCAAAGCACCGATATCTTCCGTACATGCCAGAGTAGAGGTATAGTGCGAGTGACCGTAGAAATGATATCATGATCAATCACAACGAAATTGACATGCACCGTCCGGGAATCGAACCCAGGTCGTACGATTTACAGACCAACGGTCTATCTATTTAGCTAACCGGACAGATTAATCAGGTCATATGGCTTAAATAACTAATATTCAAACATATTTATACTGGTCTGGCGAAATGATTAAATATAT